TCCCTAGTAAAAATGGGACGAAGTGCGCGCGCGTGCGTCGTCGCGCGCGCATGCCGAAATCCTTCCAAAACCTTCGGTGTAGGAAGGATGTCGCAATCGAGCTTCCAAAAAACATTCAAAAACACAGGGTTTCGCAACGCTGATTTGCTAAAAAAGCTTTCGCGCGAGCTCTTGCGAAATCTTAAGACAACCATCGGTTCTTCAATACTTTTACAACGTGCTACCAAACGGGCTTCGCGCGCGCGCGTGTCGAAATCTGTCGAACGCCCTTGCGCGTGTGCCATCGCGAGAATCCTTTGCAACAGTTGTGACGAAATGCAGACGCGCGCGTCGTCGCGCGCGTATGCCGAAATCCTTCAAAACCCATCGGTTCCGGAAGGATTTCAAAATCGCGTGTCCAAAAAACCTATAGAAACATAAGGTTTCGCAACACGGATTTTCAACAAAAGCGTGCGTGCGCGCTCTTGCGTCGTCGTCGTCGTCGTCGCCGTCCTCCCTCCTCCCGCGTCGTCGTCGTCGTCGCCTACGTTGTCCTCTGTGTTTCCTCGTGTTCGTCGTCGTCGTCCTCTTTGGCGTCGTGGTCGTTTCCGTCGTCGTTGTCGCCGTGGTCGTCCTTCCTCCTCCTCCCTCGTCGTCGTCGTCGTCCGTCGTCGGCGTCTCGTCGTCGTCCCTCCTATTTCGTCGCCGTCGTCGTCGTCGTCGTCGTCGTTGTCGTCGTCGTCGTCTTCCCTCCTCCCTCGTCGTTGTCGTCGTCGGCGTCGCCGTCTTTCCGCCTTCGTCGTTCGCGTCGTCGCCGTCCTCCCTCCTCCCTCGTCGTTGTCGCCGTTGTCGTCGTTGTCGCCGTCGTCGCCCTCCCTCCTCCTTCGTCGTCGTCTTCATTGGCGACGTCGTCGTCGTCGTCTTCGTCGTCGTCGTCTGCGTCGGCGTCGTCGTCTTCGTCGTCGTCGACGTCGGCGTCGTCGTCGTCGCCGCCGCCGTCGTCGTCGTCGTCTTCGTCGTTGTCGTCGTCGGCGTCGTTGACGTCGTCGTCGTCGTCGGTGTCGTCGTTGTCGTCGTCGTCGGCGTCGTCATCGTCGTCGTTGTCATTGTCGTCGTCGTCGGCGTCGGCGTCGTCGTCGTTGTCGTTGGTGTCGTCGTCGTCGTTGTCGGCGTCGTCGAAGTCGTTGGAGACGTCGTCGGTGTCGTCGTAGCCGATGTCGGCGGCGTCGTCGTCGTCGTTGTCGCCGTCGTCGTCGGCGCCGGTGTCGTTGCCAAATGCCATTTGATACCCACCGTCACGGTCTTAAGAGATTTTGCAAGCCAAGTTGCGGGTGGGTGGTTGGGATGTTTGCGCGAGCAGTGGAGTGGACAACACATTGCGAACAGAAATTAATTGCACCGTATAAATTGCACCGCGTAGATTGCATCACGTAGGTTGCATCGCATATATTCTCTCTTCTGAAAAGGAGATTGGTTCTACCACCCCCCCCAACACTTATCGATTCCCCGGGAACTGATGCAAAACGAGTGATTCTGACCCAATGTCCATCCTACCTGTGAGCTCATACTATCCCAGTCAAACTGGCATCGGCCCCCCCCCCCCTTTTTGTCCCCTTGGAAAAAATTCTATGTGAGCACGCTCGTTTATCAACAACCACAAGTTTCCAATACTCCCTTGCCAACAACGTGACGAAGTGCACACGCGCGCGCATGCTGGCATCCTTCAAAAACTCTGGGTTTCGGAAGGATTTCAAAATCGAGTGTCCAAAACACAACAACACAAGGCTTCGAAACACGGATGTTCATCAAAGTCGTGCGCGCGCGCTCTTGCGAAATCTTAAGAAGACCTGGAGTTGTTTCAGCATTGTATAAGATGCTACCAAACGGAATTCGCGCACATGTCGGAATCCTTCGAACGCCCTTGCGTGCATGCTGGGGTGGCACGATGCGTATCAAATAATACCATGCGAGCCACTCTCGCGCGTCTGCCGCGCGCGCATGTCGAATTCCTTCCATCACCTTCATCACCGACGCGAGGACGCCGTCATCGTCGTCGGCGTGATCAGCATCGGCGCCGTCACGGGCTGCCCCGCCGTCGCTGTCAGCATCGTCACCAGCATCGCTGCTATCATCATCGTGTCTACCGTTGTCGACGTTGCCATGATACCGCGCCCGCCCAAGTCGCCGACTCGCACTGAAGCGCCCACTGGGATGTGCCTAGCGGTCAGCGCCACCGCGTTCGCGTCGGTCGCGCCAAACTAGCTGGCCGCTGCGCGCGCGAGCATGCGCGGGCTAGCGCGGCCGCAGAGATGCACCAGCCAACACCCAGCACTCATCGCAATCGCCACCGCATGGGTTTTGCAAACCAAGTTGCGGGTGGGTGGATGGGCTGATTGCGCGAGCAGTGGAGTTGACAATCTCAAGTTCGGCAAGTGAATTCTCCTTTTTAAAAGAAGAATAGACTCTACCCCGCCGGAGTTAACGGGCCACCTTTTCGTATTGCAATGTACATATGGTTTTGCCACATTCTATCCCAGCCAAGCCAGTATCACCCCCCCCGTCATCCTCTGCAAAAAACACTATGCGCGCACACTCGTCGATCAACAATCATAAGTTTTCACGAATCCCTTGCCAAAAACGGGACGAAGTGCACACGCGCGCGTCGTCGCACGCGCATGCCGGAATCTGCAAACATCTTTCGATTTCGAAAGGATTGCAAAATCGAGTTTCCAACAAACATATAAAACATAAAACATTTCGCAACACGGATTTGCTAAACAAATGTACGCGCGTTCTTGCGAAATCTTAAGAAAACCATAGGTTCTTCAGCACTTTCAAAAAATACTACCAAATGGGCTTCGCGCGCGCATGTCGAAATATTTCGAACGCCCTTGCGCGCGTGCCGTCGCGAAAACCCTTTGCAAAAAATGATACGAAGTGCGCGCGCGCGTCGTCGCGCGCGCATGCCGAAATCCTTCAAAAACTTTCGGTTCCGGAATGAATTTAAAATCAAGTGTTCAAAAACGTACAAAAGCATAGGGTTTCGCAACACGGCGTTTCAACAAAAGCGTGCGCGCGCGCTCTTGCGTCGTCGTCGTCGCCGTTCTCCCTCCTCCCTCGTCGTCGTCGTCGCCGTCGTCGTCCTCTGTCTTTCCTCGTCGTCGTCGTCTTGGCGTCGTTGTCGTTTCCGTCGTCGTTGTCGCCGTGGTCGTCCTTCCTCCCTCGTCGTCTTCTTTGCGTTCGTCGTTGTCCCTCCTATTTCGTCGCCGTCGTCGTCGTCGTCGTTTTCCCTCCTCCCTCGTCGTTGTCGTCGTCGGCGTCGCCGTCCTCCCTCCTTCTTCGTCGTTCGCGTCGTCGCCGTCCGCTCTCCTCCCTCGTCGTTGTCGTCGTTGCCGCCGTCGTCGTCCTCCGTCCTCCCTCGTCGTCGTCTTCGTTGACGACGTCGTCGTCGTCGTTTTCGTCGTCGTCGTCGTCGGCGTCGTCGTCGTCGTCGGCGTAGTCGTCGTCATTGTCGTCGTCGTCGTCGGCGTCGGCGTCGTCATTGTCGTCGTCGTCGGTGTCGTCGTCGTCGTCGTTGTCGGCGTCGTCGAAGTCGTTGGAGACGTCGTCGGTGTCGTCGTAGTCGTTGTCGGCGGCATGGTCGTCGTTGTCGCTGTCGTCGTCGGCGTCGATGTCGTTGCCAAGTGCCATTCGGTACCCACCGTCACGGTCTTAACAGGTTTTGCAAACCAAGTTGCGGGTGGGTGGGTGGGATGTTTGCGCGAGCAGTGGAGTGGACAACTCACTGCGAACAGAAATTAATTGCACCACATTGATTGCACCGCATAGGCTGCAATAACCTATTGTTTATACTTGTGCCCATTTTGTCTACGTGCAGAGTAGACAGGAGTTCAGCTTTTCGCTCATACCTCGGTCCGACGACGACGACTTCCTCCCGAAACGTGCTTTGAAGCTTTTTGGGGGCCTCTGGAAGGCCTTTTGGGGGCATACTGGGGGCTTGCGAGGGCCCATCGAGGCCCTGTTGAGCGCGACGGTTCCGCCGACATCTCCCGAAGAGGCTCCTCTGAACCATCATGTGGACGCTTGGGCTGATCTTCTTGCCGCCCTGCTCTTCTGCTACGCCGTCGTCGAGGTCATGAGCATGACTTCCTGCGGCGCTTGAATATCAGCGTGGTATGAGTGCTCTCTGGTCGTTCCCCGGCCGCTTCCTCCTCCCTTCCTGCCCTTCCCTTGTGTTCGCCGTAATCAGCTCAGGACGCGTCCCGCCGTTGCCCCGATCGCTTCTTGGGCCCATCCCGCCGCAAACCAAAAAGTTCGGACCGTCCTGGAACCCTTGTTGGGCCATCGTGGGAGGGTTCTCGTTCAGTCTTGGGGCCGCTGGCGCGCTCTCCTGGGGCAGCTCCGGCGCCCAAAGCCATCGGGATCAGAGAGCTCAGCCGTTCAACTCGTACGTCGCTGTGATGCGTTTCTCGGGGCCTCGCCGGGCGCCTCTTTGGGCGTCTCCTGGAGACTTCTTACGCCAACGTCCCTTGGGACACCTTGGGTAGATCTTGTGACTTGGGGGTTCGTTGGGCCGTCTTTCGTTCGTGTCGGGGCGTTTTGCAGTCGTGCTGGAGAGACCGTTGGTCGTCTGGGAGTCGCCTAAAGGCCGAACATGGCGCTGTCTAGCAAAACTAAGAAATAGGTGCAGATATTTTCTGCGGATTCGCACTTCGAGGTGGGGAGTCACCTTTGGAAGACCACAGAAAGCTTCTACCAGGCAGCAGACAGGCATTCCAACACGGCGCAACATCCCTCGGGCAACGCGACATAGTGCGTGACGAATCAAACCAACAGATGCGACGGAGCTTTTCCCAGTACTGGTGTCAGAGATTCTGTGCTGCCGAGGCGCTCGTCAGGAGTTGAATGCACGATCAGATGCGGGCATCATGAGGTAAACAAGCATGCTGCTCTGCTCCTCCCGGTCCCGTTCTCGTCCTCCCCCCAGCCTCCTCCCCTTCCTCCTCCATGCCACCCTCAAGGACTCGACCGACCTGGACCACCCGTGCCGCATCCCTGGCAGCGTGTACCTGAAGTGCTTGCAGGACAGCGTGAAGACCACCGAGAAGAACCGCTCCGCGAAGTGCCTGCCGCTCTTCGGCACCTTCGACGCGTGCCGCAGGGCGGGCAGCGGGGGGGGGGGCACGCGTGCACCCACCACCGGGCCGGCACAGGCCCAGCGCTGGGCCAGATCTTGGTGCATGTCCGTTCCCGGCCAGGCCGAGGGGTCACGATATTAGGGGGACGAAACATGACATGAACATAAAAACTCGGAGGTCCGCGCGGATTTCTCGGATCGGCGCTGGACCCCCTTCCCTCCCTGGCGCGCGGAGCGCGCCAGGGGCGGCGCCGGAGGCGCCGCCAGGGGGCCCCAGCGCCGATCCGAGAAATCCGCGCGGACCTCCGAGCCTTTATGTTTATGCCACTTTTTGTTCCCTTCATGTCCGTTCCCGGCCAGGCCGCGAGGTCACGATGCACCCAGACGTCCGGCGGGGCCCAAGCGGTGCGACGGCCACACCGTGCGGGGGGTCGGTGCGGGCTCGAGGTGACCGCGCAGTTTTGCGACTCGGGGCGCTCGCTCTCCGAGGATGTCCTGGGCGGCTGGTGGCCGCCGAGGTCCCCAAGATTGTGCGCGGGCTGCTCGTAGGAGTGGCCCTTCGCACGGGCGGCCGCTGGTGCCGCCACGCGGGGGCCCCCCTATCGCTGAACGCGGCGCGACAGCGGCATCCAGCGATCGGGTTTGCCCCTCCCCCCTCCGCGCCCCCCAATTCCGCGCACCGGAGGTCATTCTTGCGTGCCACCGAGGACACGTGTGTACCTATACGACCACCCTTGGGGGGATAAGGAGGTTCGGTGGGGGGAGGAACCAAGGTCTCACTCGATCGGTCTCACTATCGATCCCACTATCGATCTCACTATCGGTCTCGCTCGATCGATCTCACTCGATCTGTTTCATTCGATCGGTCTCACAATCGATCTGACTATCGGTCTCACAATCGATCTCATTATCGATCTTACTATCGATCTCACAATTGATCTCTCATTCGGTCTCACTATCGATCTCACTATCGATACATACCACAATTGATCTCACTATCAACATTATCATCATGATAATCATCAACATCATCGTCATCAACATCATCATCATCGGGACATCATCATCATCACCTCATCACCATCATCATCACCATCATCATCGGGACACCATCATCGTCACCATCATCATCATCAACATCATCATCATCATCATCGGGGCACCATCACCATCATCATCATCATCATCATCATCATTATCATTATCGGAACACCAGCATCATCATCATCGGGGCACCATCATCATCAGCAACATCATCATTATCATAAACAGCATCATCGGGACACCATCATCATCGTCATCATTATCATCATCACCATCATCATAATCATCATCATCACCATCACCGGGACACCATCATCATCAACATCAGCATCATCATCATCACCATCATCGGGCCACCATCATCAAAAGCATCACCATCACCTAATCATCATCCGCATTATCAACATCATCATCAGGACACCATCATCGTCATCATCATCATCATCATCAGCAGCATCATCGGGACACCATCATCATCATCACCATCATCATGAACAGCATCATAATCGACCTCATCATCTCCGGGACACTATCATCATCATCTTCACCAGCATCATCATCTCATCATCATCCCATCATCATCAACATCATCAGGACCATCAACATCATCATCATCATCACCATCATCATCATCATCGGGACACCATCATCATCAGCAGCATCATCATCATCAACATCATCATCATCGGGACACCATCATCACTACCATCACCATTATCATCATCATCAACATCGTCAACATCAACATCATCATCATCATCACCATTGGGACACCATCATCATCACCACCATCACCATCATCATCATCATCATCATCATCATCATCATCATCATCATCATCATCATCAACATCATCGACATCATCATCGTCATCATCGTCATCATCATCATCGGGACACCGACGGGACACCGGCGGGACACCGGCGGGACACCGCGCGCCACCGGCCCCCGGACAGGAAACATGTGGTCCGACCGCGCCTCAGCCGGAGGCGGGACACCGGCGGGACACCGCGCGGCACCGGCCCCAGGACAGGAAACATTTGGTCCAGCCGCACCTCAGCCGGAGGAGACTTTCTTCTCGCCCGCCCACGCAGCTTCGCCTCGCCCGCACGGCACGCACGAACACGAAACCGAAACCGATTTCCCGGTAGGGGGGCTCTCCGTTCCACTTCGATCTCACCCCTTCGCATCCGATAATAGTACTTGCCCTCCTCTCCGCAAAGGGGGTCATCGCGCAGCAGAAGAGCGCGCTTGAGAACTCCTTGGTGAAGCAGGACATCGCCGACCGCCGTGCCAAGGCTGGACCGTCGGGAACATCCGAAGGGCCCCGATGGTTCCCGAGAGCCGCCCCTGTGACTTGGCATCGCTCGGGCGTGTGCATTTTTCGACCATCGTGGAGCATTTTGGACCAGGGGTGGACCTAAACAGTGTTTTGGCGATTTCGTGGGCCGTTTTCGTTTCGATTTCGCTTTGCGGTAAAGGCGGCTTGAAGACAGAACGAGGGAAAACGAAAACAAAACGAAAACGAAAAGCACCGTTTAGGTTCAGCCCTGAACAATCGCACGAAACCCAAACATGCACGGGGAATGGACGCTCGAGCGATGGCAAGATGATCGATTGCGGACGCCCCTGGGTGCTCCGAGAGTTCGGCTTTCGATCGTAGGTCCCGTGCTCCACGCTGCGATTCATCTCTCGCGCGGGAGACGCCGGGAGACCGCCGCAGGCGCCGCCGAAGACCACCGAAGGCCGAAGGGCAACGGGGGACCCACAGGGCGAACACGCAACGAGGGGCCCACCGAAGTCCCAGGGAGTCCCCCGAGATCCCTCGGATCCCCCTGGAACCCTCCGGGGCCCCCCGAGGACCTAGATGTCCGCCGACTCGATCTCTTCGAGTCGCTGGCCCCCAGAGATATCGACCCCCTCTCTCGGGGCGTTTCTAATTATCTGGCACGGCTGTGCTCTATAGCTCGAACTTCCTTACAGCGAACTCGCATAGTTAGGGTGAGCGACTTTCCCTGTCCCTTCGAGTTGTTACTCTTCTCTCCCCGCTGGGTCCTTGTCCCCCCCTGACGCCACCCGCCGCCGCAGCTGTGTTACCTAAAGGATCGAGCGCGCATTGCGCATGAGGGAAAGCGAAGGTTGGGGTCGTCGCTTTGTCGTCGTTCCCTCCTCCCTTGCTCTCTTTCTCTCTCTTTTTCTCCTTCATGTTTTCATATCAACATAATGGGTTATTGAGTATTGAGAAGCATGTCGGATATAGTCACAATTGGCGATGATACCGATCTGTTGACATCACCAGTACATATTACTTTTGACGGAAACCGTATTCGTTTGCCGAATGGTTGGTTACCAACCGAAAGTTCGAATGATTTGTCGGACATACAAATCGCTGCAATCGATGATATCAACATGCTTGTTCCATTGGAGACTGCGCATTATCAGCCGAGCATTCCGCCCAATGATGCATTAGGTTATATCCTTCCAGGTGTTCCTGTCATCTCGTTAATTGATGGTTCCCTTCGTTCCGATGGAAAACAGCGAACTGCCGCCAGTTCACCCAGTGCAGGAGGATATGGATCTAGACCAGGAACTTTCAGCGATCCTGGAAGATGAAGATCCGAACTTTGACAGTTCATCGATCAGATGTAAGGAAGCTTGGATCATATGTCAAACGGATCACGCAAGGGACAGCACGGGAAAGACATTTGAAGCCAAGCGCCCCAAGGTGCCCGAAGATGTACGCATGGAACCTGATTTTCCCATGCTGACCTCCAGCTTGGCAGCGGACCTGCTTGACGACCAGCAGCGCCCAGCTACACATGAAGTTCCATAGGTACTCCCGACCCAATTGTGGCCAACCGTAATGCCGCCAGGAGATGCGTATCCAGATCGTTGCTAGCATCCAGAATGCGTACCATATCGAAGAGCCGTCAAGGATATCGTGGATCGTCTCCCGCCCGGGGAAGACACATGACATACAAGGTCCGTGCCATCGACCAGTGTGCGGAGGCTGTTCACGCGTATGCCATTTTTGCAACCTCAGATGGCTCTGTTCTGAACCCGTATAATGAAAAAAAGGACACAACGGTTGTTATGCTGTTTTTTTAGAATGGCAGCAACCAGAAGCAGGGACAACTTTAGCCAATGTAACGACACTACGCGAGGAACTGGCTGCCCAAGTTCGTGTGATTCAGGTTCAAAACGAGGAGGAAATTCAAAACGAGGAGGAAATTCTTCTGCACGCAACGCAGCAGGCTCATTCAGGCCGACAGGCAGCATCGGAAGCAACTCGGTTGAGTCTGATGGAAGCGGAAAAACAAAGGAATGAGTTGGAAGAGCAGGAATCCGGAAAGCGGGGGAATTGTCTGTGAAGGAAGCACATGTGCATCAATTTCTGCAAAAGGCGGAGGTGGATGCAAAGAGCTTTCATCGGTCAGTGCAGGATGCGACGCAGGCCAGGGCCGTGCAGGCGGCCGCCTTTGTCCATCGTGCGAATGAAGAAGCAATTTCGGTCGTGCATCACTCGGACCTTCGAGAGCGCACGGCTACTGACCAAGCAACGCAGATGAAAGCAGAAATGAGCATGATTGCCGAGGATCTTGCCAGGCAGAGGGAGGCGCATAATGAGTTGATTGTTCACGACGCGGCCAAGCAACGCGGTGGGGCGGTGATGCTTGCGCCGCGGACTCAATCCCTAGTGCGGGGCGACCCTGCCGGGATCCCACTTGCCGCTCAGATGCAAACAAGAGCTCGTTCGTCGGGGAGCGGTAGGCCGAGTGGACTGGCGCGCGAGGCTCAGCCCTTAATGCCAGAAAGATCAACAGACCAGGCTCCGGGGAGGAAGCCGCGGCTGCGTGTCGCTGTGGCCCCAGGAGGTGCACGCATGTGCTACTTGTGCCAAACATGTAACCAATGTGCCCAATATGCCTTGCCATGTTGCGACACTCACATCGACTCCACGACCAACCGACGCAAGCAATGCATTCGGGGCAAGTCGGAGGCCGAAGCGGAAGCTGCCCGAAAACGCCAGGAGGAGGAACGTTGGCGTTCTCAGCAATGGGAAGAGCAGGCGCGCTGGACTAGCCTCACAGGGGAGCACAAGGAAATCCTCATGAGTAGCGCAAAGAACGATATGCGTTTGAGAATTCTAGGCGATGCGAGATGGTGGGAGCCATGTCGGGACTTCCTGCGTTGAAAGACGTCGTTGTATTTCTCAAGAAAAATTAAACAACGCTGTCGCAAAGCGCCGACGCACCCCCCCGGATTTCTCAAGCCGCCCGAAGACCCCCCGCCCAAACCGCCAGGCGCCCCCGAAGAGCCACCCGACCCGCCGCCCCCTGCCAACGGCGCAGCCAGGGGCGCGGGCGGCGGAGGGGGGGGGCCCGACGGCGGCGGCGGCGAGCGCGGAGGCAATGGCGAAGATGATCGCGGGCTTACTTCACGTTTTTTTTTGGTTCTGGCACAAGTAGGAAAGGATTCGGGCGCCCAGTTGGCGCCAATTCCTGGCGCGAGCGGGCTTCGCGAATGAGAGCTCCACGCGACGAGGGCGACGTCGTCGGCCTCGTGTTTCGCGGCAGGAGCAATGCCTTGAATCGCTCATGCACTAGGTCCCAATGTAGATCCAAAACTTCTGCGGAACTCGGGGGCCTGCGAGAGAATCGACACGCGATTGCACCGGGCCTCGCTGAGAACTTTTCCAAGCTGAGACAGGAGCAGGA